AAAAATAGGAAACAATTCAAATGAGAAAACCAACGGCCTAATTTCTAACAAAACAGTTTACGAAAAACAAACATGACAGACATGAACCAACAACAACCACTTAACTACAGGCTCCTGACTTGGGACAGGCACATAAAGAATGTGACGGGGTTGAACATGTTTGTGAGCGCTCAACCCTTCCCTAACCTTGGACAGTGGTGTAACAGTACAACATAAGAACAAACTATAAAAATCAGTTGAAAAAGGCTTAACTCATCAGATACATACAAATAGAAATACATCTTACAAAACACAAAGTGGACGTGGACGGGTACAAAAAGACACTAAGTACAGATCTGAGAGTACTCGTAGTTTTTGACAGCTAGTTCAAAGCCAACAACAACTAATGGAAAAAAATCATGTATCTAAGACTAAAATATCAATCAGTCCACATCCCAATATCCGATGGATTTAGTGTAAAGACACCATTAACAATCAGGTCATGTGCAATGCCAAACTATAAGTATCGGCAGATTGTAGTACCGTGAAAGTACATATGTGAAATATTTAGTATGGTTTTAATTTACTGATAACAAAATTAATATTTTACACCTATAAAAACAATATTCAAAGATTTAATTACAGTGTTGAAAGGTAACCTTTTAGAATAAGTTTATTTAAAGGATTGATAAGTTAACCCGGATCGTATCTTAATTTCCGGGCGCGGTTTACAACATCACTGTAAAATTTAGGATGTGATATTCCGTTTGAAATAAGTTTTTTACAGGTACAGCCAAACTTGCAGACCAAATCTTTGTATCTATGAAAGAATTTAGTAAAGGTTTTAAGTAATTTGTGGTAACGGAATCCCTGACTTAATAATTTACTAGTAATAAATAGATTACGCTCATTAAAATCCAAAACGTCACTACAAAAACGAGCATAGCGAACGAGTTGGGATATATAAACACCGTAAGACGGTGCCAAAAGGAACATCACCGTTCAAAAAGGGAAAATTGACAATAAGGAAAGAAAAATCATTTCTTTTGTCGTAAATTTTTGTGTAGAGTTTCTGGTGTAATACTGAAATATCTAAATATAGGAAAGGACAGTTATTGCTGTTGATATTAGATTTATTTGAAGTAAGTTTCTTTGGGTAAATTTCAGCAGTATAGTTGGAGAATTCTTGATTATTCAACGAAAAAATATCATCAAGATAACGGTAAGTGTTGTTGAATTTATCAATTAAATGGAATTTAGACAGTTCTTCACTGAATTTAACCATAAACTATGATTCATAACAGTAAAGGAACAAGTCTGCTATCAAAGGGGCATAATTGGTGCCCATATGATTACCTACAATCTGTCGATAAACTTTATTGCCGAAACGTACATAAATGTTGTCAAGGAGAAAATTTATTGCTTTAATCATCTCATCACACCTCCAGTAAGTATATCTAGCATATTTACCTTTTTCATTAGAGAAAAAGGGCTTTATACGAGTTGCAGCAAATAAATTTGCAACCAGATTTATCAAACGACCATTTAATTAGATAGGAAAACTTTTGATTGATAAGATACTAGTATTGTGGAAGTGAAGTATAAAGAGTGGAAAGTCAAAACTGTCAACCGAATCATTGCGTAGTTATAGAGATATAGATTTTTTATAACATGAAGAAAATTTTGCTTAATTTTTTGCATAAATCTTGTCTTTCAAGTGCAATAAGTTATGGCACACAAAAAAAGATTTAAAGCAGATGTATTTGATATCCTTTTTGAAATGTTTTTGAGACAAAATTACATAAAATGCTTGAAAACAAATCAGATATTATGCATCAGGGTACTAATGCTTTAACTGCTGTTAATAGCAAGAATGTCCTTTACAAAGCAAATGAGTTTCAGAACACTGATTCAACAATCAAAATAATACACCACTAGGTGAACCATTTTTCTTTAAAAATAAACATTTCATTTTTCAGGATAACATGCTAACAGAATTAGGTAGTACGTTAGTATCATTACAGACCACATTCCAATCCTTGTGTCAGACGAGAAACAGTATGACCAATGTATATTCTCACCAAGCTGTAGACTAATGATGCAATGCCTGAAAGTCTATTTTTTAACAAGTTAACGCACACAGATTTATATAGATGTTTTATTAAGATATTTTTTTATTTAACAATAACAATCCTTTTTGGGAAAAACACTCCCTAACAGTTGAATGATTTAAAGGAACCATGACATGTGGGTCATTGTTACAAATGTACGTATCCATTCCTTGTTTGTATTCTTACTGAATCTTTTTATGGTGAACATTTTTTTTTTATGATGTTCATGAGAGGACAACATGCTTGATTACAAGTTCAATTATATTTCAATGTCTGATTGTTACTCTAATATATAACTCTAAACCAGATGTTGTAACATATATAGATATAAGAAGATGTGGTATGAGTGCCAATGAGACAACTCTCCATCCAAGTCAAAATTTATAAAAGTAAACCATTATAGGTCAAAGTACGGTCTTGAACACGGAGCCTTGGCTCACCCCGAACAGTAAGCTATAAAGGGCCCCAAAAATTACTAGTGTAAAATCATTCAAACGGGAAAAACAACGGTCTAATCTATATAAAAAAACGAGAAACGAGAAACACTTATGAACCACATCAACAAACGACAACTACTGAACATCAGATTCCTGACTTAGGACAGGTGCAAACAATTGCAGCGGGTTTAAACGTTTTAATGGTACCAAACCTTTACCCTTATCTGAAACAATAGTGTAACATCACAACATAGAAAGACACACTATAAAATATCAATTGAAATGGCTTAACTCAATCAAAAGACATATTAACACCAGTGAACATACACTGAACAAATAAATTTGATCTATGATACAATGTAAATACAAAATAAATAAACTAAGGGAATAATAATTAAAGTAACATGTTATACTGCTGTGAAATGTTAAACAATTTAAGAAAAACAATATGCTTTAACAAAAATATCAGCCATTTGCAATTACTTTAAACACAGGTAAATGAAAATAATTTTGTTGTTAGGTATACGTGTACAGTTCAAATGGAGAAAGGAAATATTTTTACAAAATAAATTTTGATGTTCATAGTACGAAGAAGTGAAAATTTAAAGTAATACCAAACACTTATCAAAGCTGGCATATAGACCAGATATAACCCTGAATAAGTAAACATTAAATCACAAAAAAGCATTACAATTAGTATCAACAGGTCAAATAAACAAGAAAGTACGATTTGAGAGTACTCGCAGTTACTGACAGCTAGTTAAAAGCCAAAAACAATTAATAATAAAAAAAATCATGCATCAGAGACTAAAATCAACTAAAACACATCCCAGGGATTTAGTATTTTAACGTCGTGGACAGTCAAAGAAGACATGACTTGTGCAATACCAAAAATAAATGTATCGACAGGCAGTAGGATAGTTAGGAGTTAACCTCTTTAGAGATAAAAACAAACGTGGGTGTGTCTTTATACATCCCGTTTGAAAAGAATACAAATTTTGTTATGTTTTCATTTGCTGATGACAAAATCGATATTAGTGCCAATGTAAACTATATTCAAAGATCTAATTACAACATTGGTAAGATAACCTTTACTAATAACATATACTAGTATGTATTTACAACCTTTCGATACCATCATACATAGGTGTATTCAATCAAGAAAACTCTATGATATTTTTTGTTCGATTACAACCCTTATTTGTTGCTATAATCAGTACCGAAAAAATCCAAATACATTTAAACACAAGTCAAAAGGTAATAAAACTAAAATTTCAATATGAAATAAACAAAATGAACTCATTAAAAGTTTAATTCAAAAATTAGTATGTCTGAATCTGTCAAACTGAATTATAGACCCCCTTAACATAGAATTGTCCATATTTTGAGTTAGAGCTGGTAGACTTTTCTGTAATTTTTATATTATTTGTCCCAAAAGTAGTACACTACACTGTAAAAATATTTCTGAGTTAGAGCAGGTGCGATTTTTTAAATTTGAATTCAATGTCTAAAAGAAGTGCACTACGAAATAACTATGTTCTCGGGCCTAAGAGATGAATTCAGTAAAGTATATTTTGTACTTTGGCAACTTCACTGAATGGTTTGATTGTTTCAATTTGTCAAACTGAATAAAAGTAAAGGATTTACATCTTTATTTGATAGAATTCTGTAAAAATATCCCATTTTGCTTTTATACGGCTGTAATAAGCATTTTAAAGCAGTTTCCATTTTTATGCCTAAGAGGCATGCTGACTTTATATTTGGCAGGTTTTTATGTTTTGATATTTGTGTTTCTATGCTTGAACTCTAAATCTAGAGAAAAGTAGATTATCACAGAAAAATGTGCAAAATGTGTTGTATTTATGGTCCTGGTTGAACGGCCAGTTTGATGCACGTGAAATGTGAAGAGCTTTGTACATAAAAGTTGAAGTCCATCATAATATATCACTAAATCTGTAATAAAAGTACTTAACAATGATAAGTGCACCTTATTCATTTCATATACTACCTTTATTTTCTTCATTAGGATAGTAAGTGGTTCAAATATATGCCTGTTGAGACTAAAACTACATACAAGTTTTCCATTGAAATTTGCAAAAACTGTGCATCAGACCATACTGTCTGAAAAAAAGTTGATTGCAAGAGTCCTTTTGCCTTCAGACTTCTTGTATCATGCAATCTTAACATAGAAATGAGCAAAAAGTAACAAATTTCCATTTCTTCCAGCTTCTGTATGCTTTTTTATACGTAAATATGTGCTACGGCCTAATTTGACCCAAAATAATTTTCAGACTTACATGGCCTTAGGCCATTTTATACTCATGTGGTATGTTATTTGTAACTTTTCTTTCCATTTAAAGTTTATTAAATATATATGAAAGAATAATTTATGGTAAAAAAACTTCAAAATTTTTTTAATTGGTTGAAAAAAATGTATATTTATGTAAGGCCCCCTTAAATTGCCCTTAAAGAGCATTTAAAAAGCAAATTTTTGCAATGTTTTAATTTTTTAGGCCCAAATCTTAATTTAAATTGTTCGATTTAAACGTCGAAAATAATCATCTAAAGTTCATTATTAGAATGGCCATTGTTTCTTTAATATATGTCCTATGGCCATGAAAATTTGCCAACTATCTTATAATTTACCAATCTTAGAGTATGCAAAGTTTTATTAGATTTAGTCATGTCTTTCTATCCTATTAGGCCCGAGGACACAGTTATCGTCCTTTTATTTTCGTTGTATTCAAATATAGTCCTTAGTGTGGACAGTGTATAACTTGTAAATTGTTTTCATACACTTTTCAAATTTATGTCTTTATATTTTATGCATGAAATATTAAGTAGTGGGATGAAGTTACATGTTTAAAAAAATTGGGTGATGAATTATTATGTAAAGAAGTGATTTGGTCCAGTTAAAAAAGGTCAAAAATTAGTATGTTGAAGCTGTCAAACTGAATTGTAGACCCCCTTAACATAGAATTGTCAATATTTTGAGTTAGATCTGGCAGACTTTTGTAAAATTTTGATATTATTTGTTCCAAAAGTAGTACACTACACAGTAAAAATCTTTTTGAGATAGAGGAGGCGCGATTTTTTTAATTTGAATTTATTGTCTAAAAGAAATGCACTACGAACTAACTGTGTTCTCGGGCCAGCTGATCACTTCTAAGGTTTCATTAAAACAAAACAAAAAGCAAATATCTGATTCAAAACAATGTCAAACAGATACAGAAGATCACAACAGGAAGACTCATAGAAGCTGTATACATAGGATAAGCTTTGTTGTTCAGTTGTCCCTTTTTTATAAAGGTAGGCTGCTCCTGAAAGCTGGACGCTGTTAAGGTCACCTGATCATTGTGGAATTTAAATTTGAATTTGTAAAAATCTAACAATTTTACAGATATTCCTGTAGTGTCACCATAAAACTCATCCTTAGTTTCTGAAGGATAGAGCACAAATGTCAAATAACCATATGTCAAGTTCAGTTTATTCTTCTCTGTGTGTTTGACAATCTTAATTTTACCATAGGCTTGATGTTTATACATCCCAATGTATTCTTTTTGTTTTCTTGTTGTATTTCTGTCTTTTCGGTAATTAGGTTTTACTTTTGGTATGTCAGATTTTAACCATGGTTCAGGATAAGTACATATGGTTGATGTATTTAGATATGGGATATGACCAGTGTACACATCAAATATATAATTATGTAATGTTAATCTGTATAAGTAATTTGGATCATTTCCATTAAATGCTACAAAAATGCCAATATCAGCCTCAGGGTACCAGGATATCATTGCTCTATATCCCCATGTTGAGCCAGTATGGACAACCATTCTGTACCCTAAAATAAGAAAAATTGAGAATAACTTTGGAGTGAAATGATTTATAATGGCTACAGGCTGTGTTTTGTGATATAACCTGATACGATCAAGCATATACAAATTTCTATTAGATTTCTGATTAAATTTATCTATTTAAAACACACATTTATGTGAGATTTTCCCACCACTAAGTCATAGCATCTTGTCCGTCAAATAAATGTATAACAAACTGCTGAACCAAATGGAAGCAATTTCTCCATAAGTATTTTACACAGTATTATATACTAAGTAAAATCTTTCAATAAAGTCATTGATGAGAGACCTTTGTTATTTATACATCCTTGGCTCTCAAATGTTAGGGTTTTAGCATTCCTGATGAAGGTCTATCCAGAAGAGTAATTCAGACACATGAAATTTACAAAGTTTTATTTTCTTATTTTTTGTTTGTGTGTGCAATTTTGTGGGGAATTTCTTGGGAGAACTGTCAACTTGACCTGACCTAAGCTAAGAGCCTCATTGATGACTGTATTTTATCTTATTTTTTTTATTGTGCACTTTTTTTAGTCCTGTAAATGTAGATTTATTTAGTCATTTTATGGTAGATCTTTCATACTAAACATTTAGTCAAATTATATCTACACTTGAAATGATGTAGACTCGACATACCATATAGACACATGTGTATTGACCCCTAGATGTCTTTTCTGGTTCATTAATGTTCTCAAATTTCTGTTGTATTGATTTCTACCCCATAATTTATTTTATTCATAATCATTAGGTTTAAGCTTTTACTTGTATCCAAGTTGAACAATGAGAAGAAGGCTGGGCTGTTGAATTTTGTCTTCAACCAATGTCCCGTTTTTTTGTGAGCCATAATGGTAGGTGTTTTGCAGCAACGTATTCAATACCTTATATTAAGATAAACGTAAATGTCAATGAGAAAGCAATCCAACTACTGTTCTGAAGATAAAAGACTGAATTGTATCCGAAGTCATCATTTAAGGGAAGTAATCCCTATTTACAGTCAATATATGATTTCAGTCATATTCGTGTTTTTGAAAATGAAGTATTGCTGATAATTTTGACTGTTTACACTTTTCAAGGTAATAGAGAAATTTCTAAAAATGATTTAAATATCATTGAGTAAGGGTAATAACTCATTGTAAATTTGGTGCATCCCGAACACTTTTCTGTGTTTACCTTCATCTGGAATACTCCAACTCAAAAATTTTAAATCCAAAGATATGTGAATATTTGACCAAAAGGGACATGGAAATTTAACCAATTCCACTGAAGATCAACTATGCCGGATGGAAATAGAACCTTAGTTTCTTAATAATATCTAAATCAATGATAAATCAACAGAAAGTTTTAAGGTTTCAGTCAAATTTGGAGATTTTTGTAGATCTTGAACTGATGATCAGTTTTTATTAACAGTTTCTATCTATCTATAAAAGTTTTCAAAATATAAGGCAAAAGGATAAACCAGCTGTATGTGCACAAACTGCCCCTGTCATGGCATATTTAAGTAATAATTGATTAATTTTTATGTTTAATGCAACTTTCAGCACTATTGGCTGTATCATGTCGGCCAGTTTTTATTGGTGGAGGAAGTTGGAGCGCACAGAGAACCAAGACATTTGGCAGGAAAACTGGTGATCATAGTCAATTAAGTTTAGAGTGAAAAGCACCTGTCACATGCGGGGTTTGAACTGACAACCTGAATGCCGACAGGCTAGTGATAGATGAACTACATGGACCACTCGGTCACTGGAGGCCCCTATTTCAATAACGAATAATGTGAAATGTGTTAAATTCACTTCTGTTCATTAAATTTTTCTAAATAACAGATGATTTTATCTAAGGAAGTTTCTGAATGCAAATCAGACTATTCTGCATCTTTAAAGGCCACATAGAATGAACAATGTTGAATGTATTAATATGGACACTTTTAGGGTAGACGTAGATAAGACAGCACATCGACCATCAAAGCAGGGTATATTCTTATCTCATGAACGTATTGTTCTCCTGAATGTGCATGTAATATTTGCTGGATATTAATAAATAATCAATCAATCAATCAATTTATATATATATATATATATATTACTAGAATGTCGAAAATGGTGAATGCCAAAAATGTATGTCTCATTATGAAGAATTTCTCATAAGGAAGAGGGCGTCCAACATGACTTGTCTTTTGTTTTGTTTTAAATAATAGTTTTGTTTTAAATATCCAATTATTTCACTGGAATGTCAGTCGGGTATTGAACAGACAAAGGTAAAACAACAAGAAATGCTCTGACGCTTTCAGCAGTAATATTTAAAAGAGATATTGAGATTAAGAACACAGTTATCAATTAAGTAGTTTTTGAATGTGTAGTTGCATAAAATATACAACTTCTATCCTGATGACAGAGGGTCTGGATGGGGGTCCTTCGTTTTTTTATTCTTTGATTTTCAAGACCATATTTCTCTATTCTATATTCATTTTGCCAATTATTCTCTATTCTTTATTTTTTTTTTAACTTATTTTTCTCTATTCTTTATTTTTTGGGACCTTTATTCTGCACTTTTTGCTCATTATTCTCAGTCTTTTCTGTAAACTCCACCCTCATGACATATTTTTGGAATACTTGCCTCTATAATATCCAGTTCTCCAACTCAGTGCGTAGTTGTTTTGAATATTCGTGACTGGTATTTCCGGCATGGAGAAGTATTTGTGGGTGTAAGTATATGGTATGGTATTGACAGGGGTTGTTATGTCTTTAAAGGCCTGTTCTGAAATCAATCTGGTGTCGTTTTGAAGCTTTCCTCCATTTAAAAAGAATCGTGTCCACTTAGACATGTCATTGGCAGTAGAAAGTATGCACCCTGATCCACCTATTTCACCATATTGCCTGAAACAGATTATGTATTTCAACAAGTCAATAATTAATTGCCCAACTTTCTGTTTTTATTGCATTCACATCTTATAAACTTATGTTGAAGTATAGTATTTTCTTGTTGGCTTGCTTAGGGCTAAAGCAGTAATGACCTTCATAGACCCTTCATTTGTAAATCCTAAAATCTGGAATATTATCTGGTAGGTTTATTTTCACATCGTTTTATCTCTTATTGTTACCGTTTAAAACAACATTTCAGCATCATAATTTATTTTTATAATGTGGTAGTGTTTTATATTAATATTTATTTTCTTTCAGAATAATTAAAATTAATTAGTAGTTTTATTATATGTATTTTAAGAGTTCATCATTTCTTCTATTGTCTTATGCAAGCTTATTTTCTTGGTATCTTATATCCTTAGTACTGTAGTTTTACTCTATTTTCTGGTTCATTAGTCATTCAGTCACGTGTCAAGTTATCTTGTCTTCTATTGGTCATAGTCATTGAGTTCAAAGTTTTACCACACTTTTTGAATACCTTGAGAGAGAAAACTATATATCATAGAATACAGCAGCCATATTTAAAATATTATATTGTTATATATATTCTGGACATTAATTCCATATTAATCAGGTCAGGTACTAATATTTCTAAGTCTTTAATACTTGCACAGTTTTCCTTTAGTTGGAATCTGAGAGAAAATGTATTTTTGAATAAGTCAGAATGATTGTGCATGAATGATAGATATTTTCATGAACTCAGAGAAATAATTTATCATGGATATATAAATGATACATGTATTGGTACAGTTATATTATTATCACGAAAGGGCTAAAGTAATGTCTTGTGAATATTATACTTATTGTTTATAAATGCTATGCAGATATAATTTAGTTCATTAGATTTATGTAGGTTATATTTATATTTTGTACAGGACCAGAATATCTTGATGTTTTAATGATCTGGTGATGTTACCAAATAGGAGATAGATCAGTGTTTTCAATGTGTATTTTTAGTTTGCTGTATTTTCTGTGTTTGTCTATGTAATTTTAGTTCAGTATAAATACTGTTTGAGTCTTGTGAATAGTAGTTACCTGCATGTCAATAATTACATGTAAACATTATAGTAACAAATAACAAATAGTTCAATGAATGATTTATAGCATAATATTATTGGACAGAATGTATTAGTTAATCCTGACTTGGTATATGATTGAGTTTATGAGTTTAATTGGATTTATACATTTATGATATATACACATTAATATTATTGGTTGTATTCTGATAGAACAGAGCCAGTTTATCGTATTTTATCGTAGTTTATACATGTACTTTCCGTTTAATGGATTATAGTTATACCCCTTTGTACACCGTATTGTCTATGTATTTATGTTTTGTTGTTTTTGTACTTTCAGGGTTATTTATTTATGTCGTATAAATAAACATCTCTTAACTTGACGAACTACTTTATTCCGTCCAGGAACCCTGTAACAATAACTTCAAGGCAATCAACGTTTAACCATATCCCAGTAGTTAACATTCAGTGTCTCATTTTTAGGTTGAAAGCTGTAACATTAAGTCAATGAACTATATGTAACTCTATAGTCTTGGAAAACACCAGGGTGTATATGTTTACTATCAAGTTGAAGTTCTTATCAGATGCTAAAGTTACTATCTAGTTTTTCTTTATATGAGAACTGTTTCCATGCTATCGTCACTTGTGTGCTTTACACTTTATTGTAAATATGTGTTTAGTCTAGATTAGAATAAAACTTATAACCAATCTTATCTGTATATATGAAGGGAATATATATTTGCCTCGTCAATATAACATGGTGGCAACGTTTTAAAACATTGTAGTTACACCGGACAATTCTTTGATTAATCCTGTAGTAGTACAGTACATTGACTGAAATTATGGCAACATTTCAAGTCGCAGCTCCAGAAAAGTTCGACTTTTGTAAGCCAGAGACGTGGATCAAATGGATTCTAAGGTTTGATCGATTTAGATCAGCTTCGGGGCTTGAGGAAAAAAAACAGGAGCTACACAGGTCAACTCTTTAATCTACACGATGGGTCCTTCCAGCAGATGATATTTTTTTTTTTTTTTTTATCTAAAATCTGATTTATTGCACTATTGCTGTTATAATGAATACCATGTCTACAGCATTTGACAGGGCACCCCTGTAGGATTAGTTTTACTGAACAAACAGGGAGATTGCTCAGTACATTAATAATAATAAATTGTTAGATTTACATTCTATGTATCAATACAACAGGTTACTTCAGAAATTAATTTCCGGAAAAATTACAATCGTGGACCGCTTTGACTCTGTATATGTTAGTTGACCTGGTCATGACCTGTTGATCAACGATCATACGATGGAGGCAAGCTAACTGGCGAAGCTGCTTGTACTTATTATTAATTATGTAGGTATACATACTTGGTTGCGAATTGATGTGTTTATATCAGTGTAGTTATTTGTGAATATATGATTTAAAAAAGAAGTAAGGCTGCTTTTAGGATAATTGGGGTTTAATGTTTTATCACTGATCATGATCATGACGAAGTCCACAACACGTGGTCTAAAGATTAAATAATGATGAGACACATGTATTGCTGAATAAATATAGCATATAACATATATGCATAAAATAATAATTATATGTACAAGCTTATTTCTTTCAAAATGTTACCATGTTTAACTCCTGTTAGTGTCGAAATATTTAAATAGTTCAAAAAATCTTTTTTGAACAGGGCATATACATCAAGATTTGTAGTTTTATAATTTGAAGTGTGAGTACACTTGTGAATGGAAAATGTAATGAGTGTTACCAAAAGATTTATGTCATAATAATTGATGTCCCAGATTTTATATCCTACTATGAGATTTCTGTAGTTTAGGATATGATGATATTTTTGCACCATTTGATTTGTCGGAGGAAAACAAAAAGAAATATGCAAAAGTGAAAGAGAAATTTTACAAGTACTTCATAGTTAGAAGGAATGTTATCTTTGAACGTGCAAAGTTCAATAAACGGAAACAAGACGATGATGAAGGTGTAGAAAGTTTTTTTACATCTTTATACACATTAACTAAACATTGTGGATACAACGATCTAAGACAAGAAATGAGACAAGATAGTTGTCGGTATCAAGGATTCCAACTTATTGAAAATGCAGCTTGATCCGGAGATTACCTTTATGAAAGCAATTGACATGGCCCGCCAATCGGAGACTGTGAAGAAACAACAGGCTATAATGAGATGTGACAATCCGAACTCTAATGTTGATGCAGTTAAATCGAAATTGAACAAAACTAAATTTGTGAAAAGCAGAAGCAGCCTTTCTATTCACAACAAAGGGATGCCTTAGATGCGGAAATCGACAATTTCACCCCAGAGAAAAATGCCCAGTTAAAGGAGCAAAATGTTACAAGTGCTCAAATATCGGACTCTTCGCAAAATGTTGCAGGACCGGAAAAACAGTTGAATCAGTGAGCATTTATTCGAACTCTGAAGGATTTCTGGGAACAATCAACACATACATAGGGGCATATTGTGCCATATGGACGATGTTTTCATGTTTGGTGCCTCACAGGAGGAGTACGACGATCGCGAGCGCCTAGAGCAAATTCTATAAGCGATAGGAAAAAATCGGTCTCGCACTGAACGAAAAGTGTGAATTTTCAAAACCGTCAGTCAAATTCCTGGATCAAATCGTTGATGCGTCGGGTTGTAGCATAGACCCAGACAAAGTTAAGGCTATTGCCGAGATGGAAAAGCCAACTGATATATAAGGAGTAAGATGTTTTTTAGGAATGATAAATCAACTTAACAAATTTTCGTGTAAGGTGAAAGAGCTAACTAAGCCGCTCCGTTAACTACTTAATACTCCTTATGCTTGGCATTGGGGTATAGCACAAGAAACCGCGTTTACCGAGATAAAGAATGAGATAGCTTCGTCCGGAACGCTTGGACATGATGATCCAAATAAGGACACTGTAGTGTCAGCTGACGCGTCGTCGTTTGGATTTGGCGCAGTCATTTGGCAAAAACATGGAGAAATATTGAAACCTGTTGCGTATGCTTTGCGCTCTATGTCAGATACAGAGCAGCACTACGCGCAAATAGAAAAAGAAGCGTTAGCTTTGACCTGGGCGTGTGAAAAGTTCAATTTCGAAACTGACCACAAACCGCTCGTGCCGTTACTCAGCAGTAAAGATATTGCAGAACTTCCGCCGCGTATACAAAGATTCCGAATGCGCCTTTTGAGGTTCGATTTCACAATTGAATACGTACCAGGTAAGGAATCAAATATCGCAGATGCCTTATCTAGATCGCCGGTAGGCATCTTGTCCGAGTCCAATGAATTCGAGACCGAGACAAAATCGAACGTTGACAGTATTGTAAATAATTTTCCGGCATCAGATATGAGACTTCAAAACATTAGGGACGAGTGCGTGAAAGATGAAATATGCAAAACCATAATGTTATATTGCAAAGAAGGGTGACCAGAAAAAATCTAGCTTAAGCGACAGCTTGAAACCGTATTGGAGTCTGCAGGGAGAGTTCACTATCGTTGGAAATATGTTATTAAAAGCCGATAGGTTAGTTTTCCCGCGGTCGTTACCAGACGAAATATTAGAACGACTTCATGATGGTCACCAAGGCATAGTTAAATGTCGAGAGCGAGCCAAATCCTCGGTGTGGTGGCTTGGTATGAGTACAATAATAGAAAACATGGTCAAAAGATGTCGTCGAAAATGCTAACGATCATGCAGAATGCTATTGCAGCCGGAGTTTCCTAAACGACCATGGCAAAACTACCGTCTGACTTGTTTGAACTAAAAGGCAGACGTACTTATTAGTAGTTGATTATTTTTCGAGATAAATTTCTAGCACAAGTTCTCAGTCCGTCGTGAATCATCTAAAGTAATTTTTTGCAAGACACGGAATAACGGAAACTTTTATTTCGGACAGTGGACCTCAATACAACTCATTTACATTCAAGCAATTCGCGCAGTCGTCTTGGTTTCGAAACGTGATGAGTAGTCCACGATTTGCCAAGTCAAACGGACTAGCTGAACGTAGTGTTCAAACTATCAAAATTATATTAAAAAAATCGGAAGACGATTATAATTCTTTGCTTTCTTACAGAACAACACCGCTTGCTAATGGTTACAGCCCGGCAGAACTTTTGATGGGGTGTAAGCTAAGAATGTTGATCCCAGTCGCTCCGGAAAACATCGCACCTAAATTGCCTAACATTCACGAGTTGTCGAAAAAGGAAGATGAATATAAAATGAAACAAAAATAGTATTATGAGAGACGACACCGAGCGCAACCATATTCTAAAGTAAAAACAAACAATCGTTTTTTGGTCAAAGATCAAAGGAAACAGGGAATAATCAAAGCGGAATCAAATGAACAACGTTCTTATATTAATGAAACTGACAGTGGCGAAATTCGTAACAATCGGCGACACTTTTCCAATTTGCCTGAAAAGTCTGATACTAAAATGGCTAAAAACACTTTTGAAACAATCCCCGATGAAATACCAATTCGCAATAATGAACTGAAAGATAACACAACAGATCAATTTGATAAATCTGAATTGTATGTAACCAAGTCAGGGAGAATATCAAAACCTCCTGATAGGTTGGATTTGTAAACACAGATCAGCTGTTCCATTCATGATAACATTTATTTGTTGCTATAGAAGTAATTTTCACACAAACTAAAAATTAAGTCAATGAACTATATTATGTAACTCTATAGTCTGGGAAAACACCAGGGTGCATATGTTTACTAACAAGTTGAAGTTATTATCAGATGCTAAAGTTACTATCCAGTTTTTCTTTATATGAGAACTGTTTCCATGATATCGTCACTTGTGTGCTTTAAACTTTATTGTTAACATGTATATAGTTCAGATAAGAAAAAAAAACCGCCGATGAAATTACCGTTTTCAGTAAAACAACATATTGTCTAGCTAATGTCATTCAATGTTATGAATAAATAATAACTCTTGCCTTGTAAAGTTATATTGAACCGGATGGAGTTCACCGTAATATTCGACGTATCCTTTTGCCAGCAAAAGCTTTTCTAGGTCTGCTGTTGTAGCAAATGTTGATGTATTCATTTCTAACGGTTCAAATATGTGCTTGGTTACTAGGTTCTCCCATGTATCTTTGCCTATGATCTCAGCAAGTCGGGTGACGACTCCATACATCAAACTATTATACATGTAACTACCTCTAAAAACACCCTCTGGTTTCAGATATTTAAGTCGACTGAAAAATATAGCATGTTTTTTTAATTTTTCTTATTGATTTAAATTTAAGAAGATGTATGATGATTGCCAATGAGACAACTATCCGATATAGAGACCAAATGAACGTAGGTGTAAGAGATGATAGTATGCGTGATTTATTTGATAATTTCATTCCGCTTATCAAACGTTTTTCTTAAAACTTTTTTTTCTTACTTAAATGTCATAAACCTCACATAGATACAATTAAGGATTACTATAACAATCGTTGATACTATATACTAGAAGTGGGCTATTGTGGTCTGTCAAATTTTCTTTACCATAATGTTATACTTACGATACTAGATTTTTCCGGGTAAGATCAGTGTCAAATCTCATCTCATTATGTTTCGGGATACCTATTTTGTGGGACAGCAAATCTCGTAGAGTGACATAGTTGGATCTTAAACTGTCGTAGAAAATCTCCTTTCCATGTAGAATTTTCTTTAGTCTTGTATCCAAGGTATAGCTGTTTAATGGAGTTATTTTAAATTTATAAACAAGTATAGTGTAATACAACAAGCTAGATCACCTATAGAATATACCATGAATCTTTTTTTAATCCGTTTGATCAACTGAGCTTTCCAAAATGATATATCATAAATAGTTTTCCAATTTAGTTTTGTTAGGACTTTTCAAAATATGTTTTTCTTAAATCGCCTGGCCAATACGGCAAGTGTGAGCTTTCCCCATCACTTGGAGTCCGTCGTCAATCGTCGTTGTCCGTTAATTTTTACAAAAAAATTGTCCTCTAAAACTACTGAGCCAAATTCAACCAAATTTGGCCATAATCATCATTGGGGTATTCAGTTTTAAAAATGTGTCCGATGACCCCGCCTGCTAATCACCATGGCCGGTTTGGCTTAAAATGAACATAGGTATTAAATGCAAATCTTGAAAACTATAATAGATAGAGAGAAACTTAAATAAGCAAAAATGATCAGCAAAACAAGATCAACAAATAAGACAAATGGCCGAAATCGTCAGTCGACTCCTTACTGTAGTTATTTCTCTTTAATGACGATTGATACCGATTGTTTTAGTGATTGCATATTGTCTTGAAAACTATAAAAGATAGACACTTCAATTAGCAAAAATGATCAGCAAGGCAAGATCTGCAAATAAGTCAAATTTGATAGATTGATTGGTGTTTAACGCCACTTTCAACACTATTGTACTATTTCGTGGCGGTCAGTTTTTATTGGCGGAGGAAGCCGGAGTGCCCGGAGAGAACCACCGACCTTCGATTGGGAAACTGACAATCCTAGCCAATTGAGATTAGAGTCGAGCGCACCTGCCCCGTGCGGGATTCGAACTCACAACATCAGTGTTGACTGCCTAGTGATATAGTAGTTCAACTAGTTAGACCACTCGACCACCGAGGCCCCCAAATTTGGAGAAATCATTATTACTCTTTACAAGATCAACAAAAAGAGATTTTTTTTGTCATGAATTGTATTCTAGTCTACACTGTTGGAGAGGGTCCATTGTTGAAGATGCACATAGACCATGGTGAGCTCCTTAGGGCCTCTAGTTAATATAAGCAAAGATTATACTAGGAATATATACTGGCCTTTCCTGATTGTCTGAGTTCCATAGTAATATCTCCTTAAACATGTTTTATTGACAAGCTGTTTGTGGTTATAACACATAATAAAAGCTTAGTGTACAGCAAAATCGAAGAACAATTTATGATGAAATGTGTTTTAAAATGAAACGAGTTATGAGTTAGCAGACCTATTAACCCCAGAAATATATCCCCGGCCTATAGGTTGCATTTCTTTAAATATAGACAATGCAATTTCCCATAGGAACTCCCTTTGCGGCTAAAACTGTGCCACTTTTACTATGAAGTTTCGTAAAAAATTATATCCTAGAATGGAAAGTTGATATGCACCACTATTTAATTCAAAGGTCAAAACATAAGGCTGTGCGGCATATTTTCAATATTTATATGCCCGAACTTGTTAGAGTTTAAACTTTTACTAAAATTCTGTACTACCCCTACCTTCACTTTGTACCTACTTCAGAATTCAATTTTCACCGCAACAATACGTTTTTATACTGGTAACATTCCCAAGTTATGTCTCTATAAGATGAAACATAGAGATCATATCTGGGAACCAGTACGTAAACAAAACGAAATATCTATGTATATTATATATTTCCCCAAAAGAGGCGTGGTTTGAGAAACAACTGTATTTACAAAGTGCAACCTATAGTACCGGCGAATTTAAGACTCGTGGGTTATCAAATTTACTTTCCGACGATGGTTTATCAGTGCTATAGTTCACTGTACAGTTGAAACAAATAAGAGTTGTTATATAACTTACAAAAACAGAGGTGAGGTTTACTTGTTTGCCAACTTTCTAGTATGTTTGTTCAATCATTGTAATAAAGTTGACATGTGAAGGCCGCTTGGTGAATTAGCGGTGTAATCTTCAGTATACTAACATACATGTAGTTAGTATTTTGCAGGGCAAAATATCTTCTGTTTTTTTCTCTCGAACAAACCCTCTTTTTACAAGTGATAGTCTACATTTCCCGACCTCTTCACGGTCCTGGCTACTTTACAGAACCAATTCAGTCGATTTATTGTTATGTTTTCCCTTCGAAAAAAGGCAGACATTTTTTGTAGGATTTCATTTCGCCTTTTTCTTCTTGTTGTTCACATACAAACTTTCCGGGCAATAACTTTTTTTTTTATCATTTGACATGGACTCATTACTATTTATTCTTTGACATAGGCTATTGATATTTGGTACCCTGGTGCACATTCTGAAGATGATGTATCGTTCGCCATCTAAGATTACCTCTGACCTTAATCTTTGACCTAGAGTTTGACAATTGTTTTTAAGGGCAAATTTTCGTGTCCTGGAAATTTATAAAAAATGATCAATTTGTCCCTTTTCAGACAAGAAGCTACACTAACTTGCCTATTGTCCTAAAAATGTTTGGTCATCTTTTTTCTTTTATTCTATATTTTCAGAGCAGTTTTAATATAAATTTAAAACTCCATCCTAGATATGCATGGAATTTTTTGGCCCAAATAGGCATTAGATATTTGCCATAGAACGTAAACAACACATTAGTCAATAACTCTAGATCGCAATAACTCTAGGTATTACTAAATTAGCATAAAATATACGAATATTCAAAATGTGCTTCAGTATGTATTTTTACATTGTCTGTTTATGATAACAAAAACATTTTATTAGAAATGTTGGATTTCTTGTAATTTCAGTTGTAACCAACAATTAATGCCTAGTACAAATCTCCCTTCAAATGGACAAGACACTGTTGTCCAACGACCTTGACTACCCATAAGGGTCTGTTCATAACTGAAGTGGTAATTTGAATTTTAGGTGTGACCATGGAAATGGGTAAAATGAAATCTATCACGAAAAAATGTTGTCTGCCTTATAAAGTTTTGAAATTAAGCATAATTTGGCTGATTAAGGGAAAAAATTAAGGATATTCTATTAACGAGCTCATCAAGACATAATAGTTTCTCACATTTAAAGACGACATACACAACATGGAGGCAATAGCTCACCGACTGATTCGTTATAGATGAAAATAATCTTCTGATATTGACTTAATTATTTAGTAACTTACTTTGTTTTCTCTTCTATTAGCTTTGTAAGCAGAACACTTGCGAATGCTTTTGACAGTGATGCTACTTGAAAAAGTGTATCCCCTGTCACAGGCGTCTTCTTTTCTAAATCCACAAAGCCATATCCTCCAACAAACAGAACTTTGTCTGATCTGACAACAGACACTGTCAGACCTACGGTTTTGTTAGATTTAAACTTGCAATCGAAAGTGTCCTTCAGTACTTGATCGATTTGGACGTTTTCTTGTCCACTAAGACAGGAAACGAACGAATATAACAGAAAAACTCGAAACATTTTTAAGTATAATATACAGTGTTTTCATTAGGATGCAAGAATAAATACAGGTGTATGTGATAATCTTCCATGTATTTATAATTCATGCATCTCCAGTAACTATAAATAACTATCAATGACAATTGGTACTTGTATATGACAATTTACATGATATCGCATTGTCATATCAGACACTAAAACATGTGGACAATGTACTATTTTTGAAGCTAACAGCAAGAGAGGTAGATGTCTGCAAAATGCGCAGACGTGGAAATAATTTCTGGCAACTTATGTCTTGGATGTAACACTGGCATTGTGACTACTATAATATTAAACTTACGTATTTTGAACCTATCAGACTATTTGTCAATACAGAGATGCGCATGAATACATGTATTGTATTGCAGGACCATGTGATAAATATTGCACAGTAACTTTTCGATAAGACCAACAGACAATATTATGTTACTATACAATAAGTTTGAATATCAGTTCATAATCATGGTACTCTAAACAGCAGTTTAAGACTAGATGTTAGCTCATTCTTTATGTTGAAAACAAGTTCAAATTACTGATAAGAAAGTAAGTGTCAATTGTTAGGGCATTTTCGGAAAATGGAGATCATTTTAATTCTAAATTTTCAGTCTAAACCAATGAAAGACCATGTGAATTACATATGGTAGAGTATCCCCCCCCCCCCCCCCCCAATTGTTTTTTTCTTCTAACCCAAAATGAGCAACATAGGCTTTTAATACATTTGTATCCTTGCTGGTCATTGTTTATACTGATGAAAAGCTCTAAGAGGAAGCTTATTCCGTAAATGTTCTTACATTTACTTGAGGTGTGCAGCTTTCCTAACAGACAAAATGTTTTTGTGTTATGAAACTACTGTGCCGAACTTAACCAAACTTGGCCACAATCATTATTGGGGTATATTGTATAACAAAATGTGTCCGATGACCCTACTTGCCAACCAAGATGGCCGACATGGCTAAAAATAGAACATAGGGATAAAATTCAAGTTTAGTCTATTATTTTTAAAACTGTTATAAATAGAGAAAATTCGATGGAGCAAAAATGTTCAGCATGTTGAGCTCTACCAATTGTCCATATACATCAAAACTGTCAGACGACTTTTTATAGGAGTGATTGCCCTTAAATGAGAAATTTTACCATTTTTTTTTCCATTTTTGCCTATTATAAAGATAATGAGAAACATTAAATTGCAAAAATGATCTGCAAGACAAGTTCTACAAATAAGTATCATAGTCGAAATCGTCAGACGACTCCTTATTAGAGTTATTGCCGATTTTTACCAATTTTTTGCATTTTTGCTTTATATCTTAAAAATTATAATAGATACATATAAACTTAAATAAGTAAACATGATCAGCAAGGCAAGGTCTACAATGAAGACTAATGGAGGAAATCGTCTGACTACTGTTTATTGGAGTTATTGTCCTTTAATGACGATTTTTTACGAATTTTTTTTTTTTTTTGGCGTTTTGCCTGATATGATAAGAATTATAATAGGTAAATAGACACTTTAAATCACAAAAATGATCAGCAAGGCAAGATCTACTAAACAAGTCGATATATTTAGACTGTCACTCTTTATAAGAGTGATTGCCCTTAAATGAAGATTTTTTAACCCTCTTTTGTGTTTTGAGCAAAAACTAAAGAAGATAGACAGAAACTAAACAGACTAAATAATCAGCACTATAAGATCAACAAAACGGAGATTTTTGTGATGAATTCTATTCTCGTCTACACTGTTGGAGAGTGTTCTTTGTTGAATATGCACATAGACCAAAGTGAGCGATACAGGCTCTTTAGAGCCTTTAGTTCTTTATTGAATCCAAGCTATACAGATACTTGTATTTGTGTAAATTGTACCTTTTTTTATTGTTTGATCGTTGCTTGCTTAATTCCCAGTGGCAAATATTTCATTTCATATTACAAGCCTGACTCCATTTCTGAGTAACTGACCAGTAGCTTTTGCAGTACGGTTGGTTGTCTTGAAGAGGCTGCTGTAGTACTGCCGGTTACGGCCTGACTCTATTTCTGAATCACTGACCAGTAACACTTACCGTATAGTTTGGTTGTCTTGAAGAGATTGTCTGTAGTACTGCCGGTTACGGCCTGACTCTATTTCTGAGTCACTGACCGGTAACTCTTACAGTATGGTTTGGTTATCTTAAAGAGCTGGTCTGTAGTACTGCCGGTTACGACCTGAATCCATTTCTGAGTTCTGACCTGTAACTCTTACAGTATAGTTTGGTTATTTTAGAGGAACTTATCTATAGTACTTGTTATATAAATCAATTTCTGTAATATATTGAGCCAAGCACGACCAGACATATTGTTGCTTTTCTTTTTGAGGGTCTAATAATGTTTTGTATTTTAACCTTATCTAAGTTTAATTGCAAATTTTGTCTAGCTTGTGAGTGATTATTACAATTTATTAGTACATGTTCTGTATCCTCTTTTGTGCCGCATGAATTGCATATCGGAGATACGTTGCGGATGTACTGTCCTAGTTGACCAGGTAGTAAAGTGGTAACCAACCTAAGCCTAGTTATTGTTATGCGTGGTATCGATTACCTTTATAGAAAGTAGGCTTTTTGTTGACTGTAATATTCATAGAACGACTCCATGAGAAGCACGAGTTGTCACACCTTGCTTGCCATTTATTTTTTATATAAATCTGTTGTTGTTGCAATGAATTCGTTTGCACTAAGACTAATGTTTAGATCTATTTCATATTTAGATAATGCTAATTTTGCTAGCTTTTTTTCAACCTGTTCATTACCTAGTAAACCAACTTGTGCTGGTAAACATTCTATGGTAACTTCTATATTTTTCTGTTTGAGCCGACAAGCCAGTAATTGAATTGGTTCTAGGATGACGAGTGTACCTGATACATCATTTTGTATAGATTGGATAGCACTATACGAATCAGTGAGAATATCAACTTTTTGCCCTGATTGTTGATTGAAAAATAACCACTTTAATGATTGATAAATGGCCGTCATCTCTGTATTGTACACTGAAAAAAGTTAAATCACCAAAATACTGAGCTCCGAGGAAAATTCAAAACGGAAAGTCCCTAATCAAATGGCAAAATCAAAAGCACAAACACATCAAACGAATGGACACCAACTGTCATATTCCTGACTTGGTGCAGGCATTTTCTTTGAAAGATTGTCAGACGTACGTTTATATCCTGCAATCTTTTTTGATGGTATAATAAAGGCGTATGAAGTTTTACCGGAGGATTGATATTTTGAGCCATCAGTTTATATTTTTAAATGATTTTTATAAACAGTGTCAATGTATTCTAGCGCTTTTGAATTAATGATAATTGGTTTTTCTGTTTTACTGACGCTGTCTTTGATGTTACTGGATGTTGTTGCTTGACCTACAATCCATGGCGGTGGATCTTGAATTTTTTTAATCTGTTTTGTCTAAATCGTTATCTTTAATTAGAATTTGAACTCTAAATCCGTATGGTATATTATGTTCATTCCATTTATGATTATAAACTTTATATTCAATACAGTCATCTACTAATTGATTAGCTGGATTCGTTGAATTTTGCTTACTACGAACATAATATTTGAGTGAAAGGTGGTCTCTTCTTAATTGTAATGGCATTTCGCCTGACTTAGCTAGTATTGTTTCTAACGGGGTAGATTTATGAGCCCCTAGTACTATGCGGAGACATTTAGCTTGTATTCTGTCTAGTTGAGATTTTACAGATAATGATGCAGAATTAAACGCTTCGATCTAAGTAGTGATTTATATAGCATAAGTAGGGAATCAGTACCCATGCCAAAATTGTTTTCTTGGACATACCTGAGTAAGTTTATTATTGCTTTTGATCTTTCATCTAAATAGTTTATGTGTTTATTCCATGTTAACTTTCTATCAAATATGAGACCAAGGAATTTGACATGTGACTGAAATTTGATTGGCTCATTATCTAGCATGAGGTTAACTGAAGAAATTTTACGATCCCCAAAAAATAACGCCTACAGTTTTTGTTTTAGAGATTTTAAAACCCAACTTTTTAGACCATGCACTGATGTTATTAAGTGTTTCTTGTATTTTATTAGTAAGATATTTAATATTTCCACCTCTATACCACATGGCACTGTCATCGGCAAATTGTGACATTACTGCGGGTTTTTTTTTTGCTTGACTTACAAAATCATCAATCATGATATTAAATAACGTGGGGCTGATGATATTACCTTGCGGGATACCATTGATGAGATCATATTCGTCTGAGGCTTCTTGGTTTACTTTTACTTGTATTTGTCTACCTTGCAAGAAGTCTTTTATAAAGATAAATAACCTTCCATTTATACCATAATCTTTACACTTTTTTAATAAACCAAAACGCCATACTAGACCAAGTTCTTTTTCAATATCGAGAAATGTGGCCATTAGGAATTGATTACGTACATTGGCTTTTTTAATGTCTGTTTCTCGTCGCAATAGGTGGTCAATTGTAGAGCGACCTTCACGAAAACAACTTTGTGTTTCTTTTATAATTTTTTTTTTCCGTTGATAGATATTTATGACTAACATTAACCATTAGTTTGCAAAAATTTGACGTAAGAGAAATAGGTCTGTAGGATTTAGGGTCAGATTTATTTTTATTAGGTTCTATTATAGGGACTCCATTTGCATGTTTCCAGCTGTGTGGTAGTTGACCAGTTACCTACACTTTATTGATTAATTGCAACACAATATCGATCATACTATCAGGCATATGTTTGAACATTTCGTATGTTATACGGTCATGACCGGATGCTGTCGTGTTTTTTTTTTTTTTTTTTTGGTCTTAAGCACCTTATATAGTTCGTTTTTGTTGAATAGTATGTTAAATTTTGAACTGTTGAGTTCCTTGTCGTCGTCCCTATTATGGATTTTCTTTTTCGGTTTTTATCTTATGTGTTCTGAACGTGGGGTCTAAATTATTGAAAAAGTTCCAGCGAGCATGTTAGCCTAATCTACATTTGATACCGCTTGCTTGGAGTCAGAAATAAGTGTAGGTAGGGTGTATGTTTTTGCCCTCTTGAGACATTTGACTGTGTTCCAGACTGTTTTTATCTGCATTGTTTGGCATAGTGACCTAAACTTGCGCATT